GCGACCCTGCACGTGAGCAATCTCCCAACTCATCTCTGTCAATGCATCGCGCATTGTGTTACATTCGGCGGCCATATTTCTTCAATTTTCGTAATGGCGCCGTTATTTAAATTTGGAAAATGAAAGAACTTGATTTTAGTTATTCGGATTATTCACGAACTGTTAACAATTGATAATCCCATTTTTCAAATAGTGGAGTAAAGATTATATACGTTTTTTACGCCTAGGTAAAATACATTCAATTTTAACGTATTTAATAAGAGTCGATACATCAAGAAAAAAATATTTAAGGTATAATATTCTTGTCACTAGTGTCCGTAGTCTCTTAACACGCTGTAAAACGCGTTCTTTTATAAGATTTTTGAGTGTCCAATATTTTTTCTCCAAGTTTTTGATATGTAAAAGAATGTGTACCTTCCCACTGTTATTTATAAAATGTCATCAACATCCTCCTCGAAATTTTCAAAAGGATTATGTATAAATAAAACACTTGGTCGAGTGCACATATTTTAAAGTACAGTTATATAAAGGAACTTGGAAAAAGAAGAAACTCGCTATTTTTCATACGAAGCACACAATTTATTCGCATCGATTAATAGTAGAAATAGTTTATAGTCGTGTTACTTCGGAATTGTTCATAGCTCGCAGTTTTCCATCGGAATGACTAGACCGGCGATGTCTGATCTGGGCATGATTTATAGTGCCGCTACTAATATAATTAGGCTCGTCTTGCCTTTTGTGCTTCTCTAGTTGCACCGATATGAATCTTGGACTAGGCCCGTCTAAGCATTCGCAGCTCAGACTCGCATCGAGATCACCTTGATAAGGCGGAGGAATTAATAGGCTTTCTGTTGATTTTGTAGGCTGAAAATGATGTCCAGATGCTGCCGAGTATACCGTCGTTGTGCCAGTTCTACGCTGCGTAGCTCCTGTAGGAGTCTTGGCACGACCATGAGAGCTCTTTGCAGGCCTTTCTGCGCTGTGCGTTTTTATTGCCCCAGTATCCAGGTAACCGAAACCAAATCCATATCCTCCGAATGCTTTAGTAGTCAAATTATCCCATGATTTAGGTTTCGCATATTGCAGACAAGGCGGTGGACGCTGGTGAATGTTTGGATCCCAGTATAAAGTGTCAGTGCTCAGTGATGTCGAACAGGATGCTGCGCTCTCAGCTGCAGTGGAAACTTCGCTGCTGGTGATAGAATGTAAGCTGTGACCCGATGCACGAGGACAATTGTGCGATGAATGCTGTTGCTGTGGTTGTTGCTGTGGTTGTTGCTGTGATTGCTGTGACTGTGTTGTGTGTTGCTGCTGCGATAAATGGTGATGCATTTGTTGCATTTGTTGCTGTTGCTGCTGCTGCTGTTGTTGTTGCTGTTGTTGCTGTTGATGACTCTGTTCATTACGAGCTCTTCGCTGTTTTTCTCTGCGTCTTCTGCTAGGCACACAGTTAGGATCGCAACAAGGGCTCGCTAAGTCATACGCATCTAAACTTCCACCATCGGAGGGGTCTCTGCGATGACTAGCACTGGAAATACAAGCTACGCAAAGATTGTTTTGTGAACTAGGATGTAGAGTTTGAGTCTCGCTGGAACAAGATTGCTGGACAGACTTGTGCGTCTTAGTTTTAGCGGGAGTGACCATGCCATTAGCCTGGTGATAGCTATGCCGAGAAGAGGCCGGAATTTCATTCGTTGTCTTCGAGAGAAAGTGATGATGATCGCTACGTGATCTTGGAGGGCCAACCGCTATTAGGCAGGCTGCACTTCGTGGGATAAGACAAGGCCGCCCATCAGCATACTACATTAAAACAAATTAGTTTATTAATTCCATTTGATTATATCCCCGCTGAAAAAAACGGATATAACGACCCGATAGATGGGCATAAATCATAGATTGAAACGTAGAAAACTTGATTAAAGTTATAATTCAATAACTGAAAATTAATATCAGAATTATGTTGTTAATGTTGCGAAACGTTTTATCCAACTCAATACGAGGAGGTACACGGCGAAAACTTCTTCCGATAAAAATGAAATTGAAAAATCATTATGCAGTCTGCTAAGTATGCAGAACGCAGAATAATTTTCAAAAGGAACGTGTTTTAAACAATTTCGTCTGAGTTTCAGAGAAGTGCTCCCATGATATCGGAACCAGTACCACGCTATATAAAAGGAGGTGCTCCGTAGAAGTTGCAGGGCGACAACATTGGACCGCTGAAGAAGTGAAGCTAGAAGACGGAGACGGTTGGCCTGGATTACTAGTTACTGTACTATTCGGCGTTCTTTTTCGCGCTGGCAGTGAATGGGTCTTCCATCGACCCATAAGGATAGACCGTTCTCGTTCGCATAAGCGCTCCAGTTCTCCTAAACGTGACTGAAGTGCTCGCTGCAGTTCTATGTATCGCATGTGCAGCTCCACCTGAAACGTACACGTTATGCACTTTATCTATTGCATCAGGAAACTCGGTAGAGTTTCGTGCCAAATACATTAAAGAGCTTGCGCGACCGGTACCGAATACTTAAGGTGAAGTGAAACACGTCAAGGACTTCAACGTTGGTAAAAAAGATTTTTCCAAGTACCTACGTTGTCGACGTTGGTTTTTATATTGACAGTTGTGTCGAATTATATTTGGCATTGTATTAAATGGCATACTCCACCTATCACTTTTGTACAATAATATTGAAGAAATCGAGGTTAAACTGCAGAAATCCTCTGGATTCATGCTTTCTAAGGCCCTAATTGACTGCAGAGGGACCCCTTGCGCCATCTGCGATTTTCGCATTAACTAAATTTTCACTCCGAGACTTCATGTTACCATTGTTTTAGCATAGAAGCGCATACAACACTTTTTTGCCTTTATCCCGTTCAAATGCGAGTTTTTCGATTACCAGTGTTCTAAATTGTCGTCCAATTGTTCTGAGACTTTTGTTTCTCATATTAGAGCCTTCAACAATTGGATATTGATAAAAATATGAGAGCTTAACGCCATTTTCTTTCTGGTTTGGGATAAGTTATCAGTTTTGTTAAAAAATACAAATTTTGAAAGTGTCAAGATAATTCCTAGGTGCTCACGAATCATGTGTCAAACTTTCAGACAGTCCGATCCAATTGCTTAAAGCAAAGTGTCTTCTTCGAATCGACTAATTTTAATGGTGTTTCACTTCACCTTAAGGGGAGCGCTACTTTCGCATCCCCTTAACTCCAAAGTTCGGTACTTCAATTTGGTGAATTGTTGAAAATGGTGAAAATTTATTTAAAAATGCACTTAAGTAAAACGAATGCCCACCTTCCTGACGCAGTCTTCAAAAGACACGACCATTCGCATTCTGGTGTCGCAGTTTTTGATAAAATTAACTAAAGTCTTGTGGTCGGCTCTGTCCATCTCGTGGCCATTTATCGACAATATAACGTCACCCTCGCGCATTCCGGCCTTAAAAGCTGGTCCATCATATTCCACGTAGTCGACGTATGTGACCATTTCGATCTCCTGCTCCCGTTTATAATGTATCCCGTAACTCTGAAAATAACCAATGCGAATTAGGATTTTCCATTCCTCCGCTATCCTTTTAGTCATCACCAGTTATGGTGAATTTACGAAATATATTAGGTTGATGCATAAGTAATGGCGATTTTTTTACACGTTACGTTACGTGTTAAAAACGCCATTGCTTATGTATCAACCTAATATTTAGAGAATCATCACCAGTTATGGTGAATTTATGGAATATATTAGGTTGATGCATAAGTAATGGCGTTTTTAACATGTAACGTAACGTGTTAAAAACGCCATTACTTATGCATCAACCTAATATTTAGAGAATCATCACCAGTTATGGTGAATTTACGGAATATATTATGTTGATGCATAAGTAATGTCGTTTTTTTTTTACACGTTACGTTACGTGTTAAAAACTCCATTACTTATGTATCAACCTAATATTTAGAACAATAATGTTTTACTCTAATAGTAATTCCTATTTGCATAGTGGATTGTTATAGTTACCTATTATCGATTCTATAACTATTTACTGGAATGTCTCGACAATGTATAGGAATCACATAAGTTAATTTACTTCTTCTGTTGTAAATTTGTTAACTTAGAATGTTTATGTTTTAGATGCAAATGTAAGAAGAGAATTGAATTTATTGCCACGTTTCTGGTAACTGTAACAGCAATCGAGCGTAAATACGAGGACAACAGTTCTCCAAAGGTATGATTACTGTTTCGTAAGCGTTAAGTGTACCGTGTAATTTAGGTAGAAAGCATTGAATGATTACAGCCATATCACTGCAATTGCAACGTTTATGTAGACAATAGCGTACAAATCGCTGGTAATTTTTGCACGTTTCAGACATGTAATTCCTACTTTCTACCATTGGATATGCAACAGTCGAAGATGTAGGAAAAGCAACCATTTATTTTTTACATTCCAGTCTGCATCAGGATAATAGAATTTACAAACACCTTCAATTATAATTGTAATTACCGCTACGATAACTGATTTAGCCGCAAATGTAGTTTTAGTAAAATCTTTCGTTGTTACAGAAACATGCCTCGGGTCTTTCGAATTAATTTTACCATAGTGACACCCACGTTCCTCAAATTTGGATTACAATTACCATAAGATTCTATTTTACGTATTTAATCTACGTAATTATTTCCATCATTTCACCATCACTCGAAATACTCAAAAACGAAAGAAACGTAAAAAAGAAACAGTGCGTGATTGATACACGCGTTGGAAGTGAAGCCGTAAGTTAAAGAGAGTTATTAGATATTACTTATTATTCTTTCACGAAATGCTCCTTACAGATTTGGTACTGGTCATTTCGGGCAGAATTATTTTCATTTTACTGGAAATGTCAATAATTAACTGTGAGAATAACGTACTGGAGCTGATAAAAACGTTTACGCAAATGGTTTCAATTTTAACCCAAAGATGAATGTAAATAGTAATTGACAGTGAAATAAATAAATAAGCGTTTCACTTTCGTAGCATGCGAACTTACACTGAGGAAAAAAAACCTATTGAACCAGAGAAATGTTTCTATTAATAGTACCAAACATTGTGTTAATTCAAAGAATAATCATTTGAATTAACCTCAGTCAAATAATGATTCATTGAATTAATCAAATATTTCTTAGGTACAATAAATTTTTTTCCTCAGTGTATACATACTGCAGTATCAAAAAGAGTTTCATTAAAAAAAGGTAATAAAGAAAGGTGCAATTAATTTGCTAAGGTATTCTAGTACAATATGAACTGAAAAGAAATGTCCAGCCATGTTGACCATGTTGAAGTATTTATAACAATTGCAGAACCGTGCGAAAATGTGTCCGGTGATTTGCATCTACTGTACCATTCACTCCCTACACCAAGAACATGCATTCTTTTATCTTCACGATAAATCAGTAGCTATGTATAGGTGAGTCTGAGGGCGTTAATTTAATACCTGTAATGTGAAGCCGTACGTGCCATTTTTTTTCTCGACGATAATGGTTCGTCGACGTCTATCCTCGCCTGGCCGGGACACTCTATCCGACTTTGATTTCTCTAGAACAGCCTGAGAAGAAGTAAGATCAGAGATTGCCGATAAGACGATACCGTGCATCCCCAGGACTGTTAATGACCACCCGAAAGAACAATCTAGCCAATGCAATTCCACTTAACAATGACAATCGTGTTAAGACATTGACACGCCGTCAGGAGGTCAACGCTACTTGGGTCGACCGACGACTTCGCCTTCTGCGCCTTCGACTTATTAAGTTATTTTCACATTGCAGCCACGTGGGATCCCACGGCTCGTGGAGACCAGATATTTATACATGCCCCTCGTGCATGCACACGAGTGAGTCATGTACACCGGAAGAGGGAAAAAGAAAAGCAGAGGATTTCCTCCATCGAGGGAAACCCAGCCAGGCTGATCCTGTAGAGTCGCTTCGCATCCCTGACGCTATTCAACCAACGATAGGTTTTCCAAGTATTACCAAAGCTCAATGTCTGCTACGAAACTTAGTGACACTTCATGGATATTCTCAACGGTTTATCTTATTTTCTAGGTCGCTTCTTCGCGAGGATTGAAGCAGAGAGTCTAAAGTAACGCCGATGTTGGTGATTCGGTAAAGGTACTTCGAATCTGGGACGTTATTGTGGACGTAATGTTGGATTTTTAATGTTTACCTATGCTGCTAACGATATATTATGCGAAGTATTAGAACTCATGAATCTTTTTAACAGTTGATTTTATTTTTTAGGTAGTTTCTCCACATAAATTCAGGTAGAAAGTTCAAAGCACATCGATGTTGGTGATCCTAGAATGCTACTTTCAATCTATGGCTATTGTGGACGTAAGGTTGAATTCTTAATGTTTATCAATGTTGTTAACAATTATGCAGAGTTTACAAACTGATGTTTTGAACAGTTGATTATATTTCGTAGGTCGTTTCTCCGTGAAAATTGAAGCAAGGAATTCAAAGTAACACATGTTGCTCATCTTATAGAGTTCACTTCGGGAATCTTTGACACTCCTAAACGTAACGTTGAATTTTTTATGTTCAATAATGTTGCTAATATTTGTATGAAGCTTTCGAGCCGTGTATCATGATTTATTCATTTTATTTCTTGAGCGTCGCGCCGTGATATCGAAAGTGGGAAACTGAAAATGAAATTGCTGCACTGATGAAGCATTGGTAGATTTTTCGAATATCGTTGAAGCTGTTTATTTTCTACGTCGTATTTATTACCTTTGAATTCGTGTTTTGAATGGTTAATATGATTTTCTGCGCCGTCAATGCGTGCAATTGAAAGTAAGCAATTGAAAATAAAATCAATATCTCTGATTCCATAGGATGACTTTGCATTCGCATTGCATAAGGACAGGAATATCGAAACATTGTTCGATAGTCAAAGTATTAATAGAATTATTTTATGTGTACAGAAATTTTACTAACATAAAGTACTCAGTTTAATTATTCTTTTCGCATTTTTCTGCCGAATATTAGGTTGGTGATACTCCATTTTTTTATTTAAGCAGTCTTGTCTTTCTATGCTGTGTGATTGTATGTTAATATAAAGGAAAATTGATAGAAGTATAAAATGTAATCGCAATATCCTATGTCTGTACTATTTTTCTTACGTTATGACGTCATTGTTCACGAACGCTATTCCTGATCGGTTTGCAATGAACGGAAAAGTCCATTTATAATGGATGGAAAATTACAGAAGAAGGAGAGTGAAATTAATCCTAATCGCAAAGAAACAGACGCTCGCACACATACCATGTCCGTCGGTGTAACATGTAAATTAGAATCTCGCGGGTAAAATCGGTATCACGCAGTCTGGAAAAATAAAAAAATCCTTCCAATGCAAACATCAGATCCAAAAATGATGACTACGAGGTCCATGGGTCAAGAGTCCATTCATATCCCAACTCATTTTCTCGTCAAAACATTCAATTTAATATCTAGGAAGAGTACTTTGAACAATTTACAGATTCGTAAAATTCCTTTGTTCAATTTTTCATAATCAACTATTTTTTTTTATCCTTGATTTTATAGGATAAAACGTTAAGCAACGTTTCACGAAATGCAAAGAGCAAAGGAAATGAAATTTGAGTTGGCGCTTTAATAAATACAGACAAGTTCACCGATGATTGTCACCTAGGATTGCAAAGTGATGATAAAAAGTGTTACATAATAATTCTACTTGATCAGCATTGAAGGATTTATGAAAAACTATCGACTCTTCGATCGACTATCAGCAGTTGCGCTCTATTCCGTGATTAATTAAGCAATAACCTAATTTATTTTTAATGCTTATCTTATTTTAGGTCAAGGAAAAATCAGTGCGATGTTGATATAATCATAAACAGTGGGGAAACAATATTTGCTACGCAATGACTTAAACCAAGGTCCAGAAATTTTGCAAAATGATATTTTCAGGACTAACAGTGAAAGAATAGCAATGAGTTGATTAAACTGTTCCTTCGCCAATTTACAATAAATCCCTTCTTTTTTCAGATCAAAAGAAATACACAGAGTGATGTATCACTAGACATAAATAATGTCTAGCAAACGACTTTTATTAATAAATTCATGCCAAAGGCAAGACAAATTTTGATAAATGATATTCTCAGGATCAACAACAAAGGACTCATTTAGCAAATCTTTGCACAATTCTCATTAAGTGCATTCTATAATTACGAATTTAAAAAAGTAGAAGACCGAACCGAAATTCCGCTGCAGTCCTCCTCGTCTTAATTGTTGTAACATATTAATTGTTTGATACAGGTTCCTTAAAATCTGCTTAATTAATATTCCTAATATTCACTTAATTAATCAGAGGGTGATATTTTCAACCGTTTTCCTGCTTTTTCCAGGTCGAGAGAAATACAGGACGATTAAAAAAGTAAAAGACCGAACCAACATTCCACTACAGTCCTCCTTGTCTTAATTGTTGTAACATACTAAATGCTTGAAAATGGTTCCTTAAAATCTGCTTCATTAATATTCATACTATGTGCTTCATTAAGCAGAGGGTGGTATTTTAGACCGTTTTCCAGCTTTTTCTAGATCGAAGGGCATACAGGAGATTTAAAAAAGTAAAAGACCGAACCGACACACCATTACAGTCCTCCTCGTCTTAATTGTTGTAACATACTAAATGCTTGAAAATGGTTCCTTAAAATCTGCTTCATTAATATTCATACTATCTGCTTCATTAAGCAGAGGGTGGTATTTCAAACCGTTTTCCAGCTTTTTCTAGATCGAAGGGCATACAGGAGGTTTAAAAAAGTAAAAGACCGAACCGACACTCCGCTCCAGTCCTCCTCGTCGCTGTTGTCGATGCCGGCGCGTCTCGCCGCGTTGGCTTCGTTGGCCTGCGGCGAGCTGTTCATCCTGGCAGGGTTTTCGGGACGACCTCGATCAAACTCGACCAAGGAAACGCGGTGGCGATCACATTTTCCCTAATTAATTTGCGATAGCCGGCGGATTAACTGGCACGACGGAAAACTAATCGGCCGAGCCGGTCGCGAGGAAACACGGGAGCTACATGATTTTATTGTCATGCCCGCTGCAAGCACTCGGGCGCAGCGCGCCTGCGCAACAATATCGGCCTCAACCCTGATCAGAAAAGGGTCGAGGCGAGTCGGCGCAGACCCGACCTAAGCCCGATCGGACCTTCCCATGGGGAAGTGAATGCCCGAGGAAAGTAACCTCGAGCAATAGCTTCCGTGAGAGGGTGCAGAGTTTTCAGAATCAACGCGTAAAACGCACAGGAGAGAACGCCCTCGGTGGCCGATTTATTAGTCACCCTGTTAAAAAAATTATCGAGACTAGAACATTTTTCTTGGAAGTTTTAGTCATACGTGGTGAACTAATTTTACAACATTTCCAAGCAATATTTAAAAAATATGTTTTAAATTTAAGACATGTACTGGGGTGCAGTTTTCAGAATTATATAACATATCCAATGCACTAATTATATAACATATCCAAGCAATATTTAAAAAAATATGTTTTAAATTTAAGACATGTACTCAAGTGCAGTTTTCAGAATTAATGCCACGCGACGCGCAGGGGAGAACGCCCTGCGTGGACGATTTATTAGTCACCCTGTTAAAAAAATGATCGAGACTTTAGAACATTTTTCTTGGAAGTTTTAGTCACACGTGGTAAACTAATTTTATAACATTTCCGGACATTTATGAAATATATTGTAAATTTAAGACAAGTGTACTCACTTTTCTACCGAATTTTACAAACTCCCAATATGATGTTATAAAATTACGAATTTATTTTGAAGTATATAGTAAATGTATAATAATTCACTTTTGAGACGTGTGACGAAATATAAGAGCCAGTTTGGTTCTGGTCTGGGCTAAGTTAACAACTTTTTTTTAATATCCACATTTTTAAAGTGCCAGGACAATTCGTAGGTGATCACGAGTCATGTGTCAAAGTATCGGACAGTTCGGTTCAATACCCTTCAAAAAAGGGTCTTATTCGAATTGACTGATGTGAAGGGGTTTCTCTTCAGCTTAACATCTCGTGATGCTTTGGAGATGATTGGTATTAAAGGGTTGAGTCGGGTCGCAAGGAATTTAATTTTCATATGAGTTGGCTTAATGTACAGAGGAATGTAATCTGGAGTAATGAGTTTTGCGATATGATATACAGGTTTTAGAATTAGTGTCTCTTTATTGGACAGAACAGAACTTGAGGGGTGAAGAGGGCTTGACGGGAATGTAATATTTATATGAGGGGGTACGTTCACCCCCTAAGGAAAGTACCCTTGGGTAATAACTTCCACGAAAGGGTGTACGGTTTTTGGAATTAATATCTATGATGAAATTAATATCTTTGCCGAGAACAAAAAATATTAAAGGGGTGGAATCGAGTTGGCGTAAATTCAGTTTTCTTATCAGGGAAATAGATGTCCATAGAAAGTAACGCCGAGCAATGGCAGAAGATTTATAGTCTTCAAAAGTAATTCTTTTGATATATATTGAATTCTTATGAATATCGAGCGAAACAAAAATAATTAAAAATTCAGTCTTGAATTAGAATATACCACACTTTACCATGAAAATTGTTATTGTAAAGAAATAGTATTAAGAAATGTGCCAACGAATTCAATGAGCTATTCAAAAATACATTTACGCTATTAAGAAATCAGGAAACTCGGTAGTGTTTTACGCCAAATACACACATACACTTGTCGCTTTTATTTTGACGCAAAGGAATAATATTAAAGAAAATGATCTACGAATTCAATGAATCCCTAATTCATAATAAATTAACGCTATTATAGAGTCATTTTTCCTTCATTGCGAAGAAATAATAATAATAAAAATTGTTTAAACGTGTTGAACTCTTATTTCAAATTAAGTTTGTACTATTACGAAGTCGTCTTTACTTTGTCAATTACTTTACCTGGACCATGCTTCTGGTGCAATACATCCCTTGACTCGGCCAAAAAGTTCTATAAGCTCCGTTTACTTCTTACCTTTCTTGCCCTTTTTGCCCTTTTTACCACCTTTTTCCTTTTTGCCACCTTCTTTACCACTAGGAGGAGTTTCCTCCTGCACCACCGGTTTCAACGGTGGTAAAGGTGGAGGCTTTGGCCTGGGAACTGGTACTCGTCTTTATAATCAAAATTAATTTTCATTACAATTTTCATACAGCCCATCAGTTTACAGTAAAAAAAAAATACGGTTTATGGTGGCCGTTGCGTTGGATATAAAACTTCTAAGTTAAAGAAAATGATTAGATATCATTAATTTGAATTATTCTTTCACAAAATGTCATTACGCATCCGGCTCTCGTTTGGGCGTAATTAATTTGTCTTTTCTTTGTACTATTTTTATTTCACCTTTAGTGTTATTTAATTAACTGAGAGAATAACGTAATAACGCTAACGAAAACTTTTAGACAAATTGTTTCGATACTGATGTACAAAGATGAATGCAAATAATAATTAATTATGAAAAAAGAGAAGTGAGATAAGACACTAGTAATGATAAGAAGTTGTTTTAATGCCAACTTCGCCAGAAACCAGAAGCACAGTTGTTGATCGACGTCTTAGACAACAAATTGAAATTAAATAACACTAACGAAAATGCTCAGGCTAATTGTGTTGATTCTAAAACACAAATATCAATGTAAATAATTACACTGTGAAAAATATTCATAAAATTCATACACTTTTGGTACATGATTTTATGGTAAAATTATAAATTTCATGTGTCAAATGTGAACTATTATTCATTTATGACAAACGTCAAAATAAATTTGTAATTTTGTAACATCATATTGGAAGTTTGAGAAATATTGTAGGAATATAAGTGACACTTACTTCTCTAAGTTTACAACATGTGTCATAAATGTTGTACAAAATTAGTATACCACGTCTGAATAAAACTTCCAAGAAAACTGTCATAAAATCTCGATATTTATTTTTAACAGTGTAATTAACTATAAAAGGAAACACGTGTCACTTTTCGAAACTAGCTCTTTTCATAATATACGAATTTACGCATTCTGCCGTGCCATGAAAAGTTTTGCTATACACGTACTAACGTGCCATAAAAAGCTTAAAAAAAATATAGAGAATGTATTACTTGAACGCGAGTTGAACATTTTGAAAGCTCTTCCCCTGAGTGACGTTGACCCAGACATTTGACTGAGTTTTCGGTTTCAGACAAAAGCCACTACCACCGGCCATACAACATTTCTTGTTCTCTAGAGCTTCTTGCTCGTCTAATTTCCTTTCCCAAGCCTCTTCCCATTTTCTTAGTCTCTCCTCCTCGGCTTTGCGTTTCGCAATTTTCTCCTCCTCAGATTTGGACTTATCCTCGTCGCCAGTCGATCCTCCTTTTTTGCCAGCTTTTTTGCCAGCTTTCTTGCCACCTTTCTTCGACGGGTGTTCTTTCACTTTAGGATCATCCACTGCTCTAGGGTCTACCCTGTTCAGGGGCTTAATATCGATCTCCATGTCAGGGAGGTTTAACCGTTCTGAGAAGTCTATTTCAGGTAGAGGTGGAATTACTTTAACAGTTCGTAGGTTCAATAACGCGTGCAGAATGAACTGCTCGCTCTGGAGGGTGGCCAAAATCTGCCCCGAGACCAAAGTGGCCAGGGTGCAATAATTGCGGAGAATCTGGCAAAGTAAATCGTTCCAATATTTATCTGCTTTTCTCATTACTTACTTTTAACGGCCCGTTAACTCTAGCCACTACAAATAATTCTTATACCCCGTATAAGAACCAATAAAAAATATTTCCGACTCTGAAGGGAGTTTGTTTTGTACCGTAGATATATTTGTTCCTGTGATTTTCAACGAAATATTCAGATTACCCTGGTTTTTTGTACGGTAATCGATTTTTTTAGTTCTACGAAAGTTGTAGAGTGGATTAAGACGAATTCAACGACGTAAGTTAAGTAACATTTTGATCAATCGTTCAGGCGTTATCGCAATTTAAAGCGAAAAAATGAGGCAGTGCACGGCATTGCAGAAGAGTCAGTTCTGAATCAGAATGTGTCACTCTTCTACTTTAGCTCCAATTATCTCGGGAAGGATTCATCAAAAGTCACTTAAATGAGGTCGTTGGATTCGTTTCAATTCGCTCTAAAACTTTAGTATGGACGAAAAAATCGTTTCTAGTACGAGAAAATTACAGCGACCTCGATATCTCTCGAAGGAAACGTAGAAGTTCAATATTCATTCTATCTATCGAACAGCCCTTGACATCAAATGCTTTTATTCAATTTATTTTTTAATTAATAATACAATATTGAAAATTTCTAAGTGGCTAGAGTTATTAAACTTTTTGCTATTTTATTAGGATATTTCATTATTCTTATATCATTTATTCACGATATAAGAAAATCCCTGGATTCTAATGTAATAATATTCAATATTTTTTCAAGTATTCCATTGCTGTATAATTACCTCGAAAGGATTCCATAAATATGGTTGAATAATTCGAGTTTCCACGAGTTCCGTCATTTTTTCGTTTTTACTGGGAATTTATTTTATCTCTTATTTTTATGTTATCTAGAGGTTACCGAAAATTTCCTAGGAAATCGTGAAACAAAGGCGAAGAAACAAAAGGATCTTGAGGATGATACTTCAGGGACACTCATATCGAGTTGCATATGCAGTGGGCGCATCTGCCCACGTGGAAGAAAAAAAAAAAATGATGGAAAAGCAACTTTAAAGACACCTCTGCAAATTTTTCAACCGCTACGTCGAATACATTCGAAGTTCTGCCAGTGAAATGCAATAATAACGAAATAGCCTTGAGGTGCACGGAGCTTTATCATTCTTATCAATAACATGCCATATTTTCTAAGGTCTGTGGGAAGCCGAGGTATTTTCCCGTCGACATTTAAGGAGATCGTAAACCATCTTGAGGCTTCCGAAAAAAAGTGTCACGATAAAGGAGAAAAGAGTCAAAAGAGCGGAAAGTACTGGGGACCTTGATATTTTGTCACGTGAAATGCACTTAGCTGTTGTACCGATTTATCGACAATAACATGCACAATTACTCGCCTTGTTATCCTCGATATCATCGGGTTACGTACGGGTTATCACCTAGATTATGAAATTTTCATACCGCCAGTAAGTGGCTGGTAAAAATATTATCGTAATCGCACTACGCCATGTTTACATTGTTTTTAAGTGTCGGGAGTGTTGACACTCCACCCTCTTAACAGAAAAATTATTTACTGGTATAATGAGATCCATTTCGCAAATGGCCGCGTTAAGTTTCTACGAGAAGGCTTTTCATAGCCACATAATTCGAAGATTTTCTCAAGACGAACATACAAGATCGGAATAAAAGAAAGAGGGAGAAAGAATATCCGGTCACAGTTAAAAAATTAGAAATAACATACTTAATTAATTTTTGGCGTATTCATTTTGAAATGCGTTTACTAAAAAATAGCAGTAGCTTAGAAAATTGTTCATATGAACAATACATATATTCGTCGTGATATCGGTGACAATGGCCACGGAATAAAAGTAAACCTTATCTCTTGTAGATTGCAACTGTTGTTGGTAGTTCGTAATTTACTGTGCTAGAAGATGATAAAACGTTCATCTGCGTTTCTTCGATATAAGGAATATTGCCATTCCGCGCTGTCAATGGAAAGGAACAATTATTTTACAGTCCGAAAGCTTTATTCTACAAACACGTGCTTCTACAGGAATACGGTAAAACGGCCCTTCATGTTGTATTTTAAAATGTCTCTTCAAAATAATTTTACAATTATTTTATAAACATTGAGAAATCTATTAGATCTGAATTCATACTCGATCTCGTTAGTCAATTATGGATTGTATCTTTTTTCTTTTTTAATCGATCATTAATGAGAAATTTTCTGAATAATTGTGAATCAATACGTTGACTTATCTATTATTCTCTGAATAGACGTAGTTCTAAAATCAATGTAGAGTGCAAATGTTGCAGGTGCAACTATTGGCCCCTAAGCCTCTTTACCTAATTTATCCGCAATCAGAGGTCCTCTTGTTTTTGTCGATGAAACTGCATTGCTGCACCTGAGGCTCTTTCTTTCCCTTTCTCGTGGTACATTCTTTAAAATTCATCTTCGGAATAGTTTTACATATTTTATTAAATAAACGATGAAAAATTTGCTACAACTGAATTCACCCTCAATCTTGTGAATTATAGATTGTATCGTTTTTAAAGTAGTTACACTAGTGCATAGTTGTTTGAATAATTATATAATAATCCATCGACCTATCTACCTCTACCTGTACAGAGCGTAGCTCCAAAGTCAATTTAAATTGCAAGTGCAACTGTTGGCCACTAACTCCTATCTAATCCGTCCGCAATCGCAGGTCCTCTCGTCTTTAACGACACAACCGCACTGCCGCACCTGCGGCTCCTTCGGGTACAAATCGGACTTCCACCCTGCAGCTGTAGAACCACCTGCGGCACAATTTGCAGATCTCGTTAGGTTAGTAGCATGGGAAGGTCCATAGGAAGATCCGCATCCAGAGCAGCAGCCACGATTTCCAGCGTCACCTAAATTCCCTATCTGCCCCTGCATCTGCCCAGGGGAAGAAGCAGCACCTGCAGGGTAATTCTGACTAATCCTCGGCTGCGCTCCGCAACATGGCGAAGCCACGTTGCTCTGATTTTTCAACTGCTGGCAGGTTGGTCCCTTGTTCCCACCTGCAGGTGCATTCTGCGACGCCTTCAAAGGGCAACAAGGTCTAGGACTAAAATCTGCCTTTATTTTTGCTGCAGGTGCGATGGAGGGCGAGGTGAAGCCAACTTCTGCCGAGATTGGGGGGCAGCAGGTGCGAAGTGCAGCTTCGCCGCCTCCACCTGGGGCTTCTTCCTTCTTGCAGATGCATCTTTCGACAGACTTGGTTCCGATGTCTGATGGAATCCTTTTGCACTGGAAGACGGGGCTGTTGGCTGCACCTTTGAAGAGATATGGCTTTTTGTTGTGCGGGATCTGAAACTGCGTGACGATTTTCTTCCCGAAACAGGACACGCGGATGAAGACCGTCACCTCGCCAACATTTTGCCCGGTGGCTGTGGTGATTTTGAAGGTATCCTTCATCGTCTTGCAGGGGTTACCTGCACCTTCGAGCCGCTTCTGTAGAAGCGTATTGAACAAATCCTTCGTTTGGATCTGATGGCTACCGATCGTCATCACGTCTGGTAAGACTCCAGGTGGCAGTTTTTTATACACCGTGAGAGTTACTGGAAATGAGTGCAATGGCTTTTCCACAACCGCAGATGGCAGAGCGAAAAGACAGGATTTGCCTTTCTTGAAGACCTGCGTGTCGCCGCTCGTGCAGGTGCAATCTGCCGTCGAGGCCTCCTGGTAGATGTTGATAGCGGGCAGATTTAAAATCTGAAAGTCAATTTTAGTTGTAATTGGCAGTCAAGATAAAGTACAAGCAGGTTTAGAATCTGAAAACCAATCTTAGCTCTGATTCGCAGTACAGAGTACAGGCAGTTCTCATTTTACGGATTCCTGCTTTACAAATTTTTATTTCTACGATTTTTTTTTATCGAAATTTTTACTCTAAATTGTGCACTACGAACATTACGAATTTTCGACTAACGAATTTCTGTCTTTACAAATTCCTATTTAATCGGTTTTTGTATTTTAAACCGTGCGTGGCGAATATTACGAATTTCCATTCTACAAATTTTAATCTTGTCGAATACTCAATTAATGAAACATTATCTTTACGAATTTTCTTAACCGGAATTTTTATTTTTATGAATATCTTTTATTAGAAATTTGTATTTTAAATTGTGCACGGCTAACGATACGAATTCTCGATTGATGAACCATCGTCAGAAAACAATTCATTCAAAAAGGCGAGAACTACCTGTACTGATAAACAATTTCTGCTTTAATCAAGACATATTACGCATTAATGTTGAATTTTTTGGGAAAAATTGTGTATATAAGTGAGGGATAAGATTGCGCTGACAAAATAATACAAATACAAGAGGTTAGAGTTTTTGGGAGATAAAAATAGAAAAGAAATTAATGCATTTTTCTTTGGACGCGAGAAAAATTGTTTAACATTTCTATGGGAAAAATGAGGTAAGTAGACACAGAGGAAAATATTTTACTTGAAAACTGACGCATGTCGTCACTGGCAATACATCTTCTTGTATTGCTTTGACAGATGGGATATTAACGCGATCCACTAAAAACTCCATTAGGAAGAGCTGCTGCTCCGTAGCCTCCATATCTCGATGATAAACGGAAAATCTGGCTACGAGTCAATTTTGAATTTTACTGGAGATCTGGCAATCGATCAGGAAATTTTAAACGAGCCATTCCGAACGATAGATTCATTTTTCACTTTCTGATAAGGCCTTTATGAAATGCGTTATCCTGCCATCTGTAGTAAAACAGGGAACATGTACAGATATAACATAAATTATGCACATCCAAGCAAGACCGATAACATTTTTTAGTAGAAAGAGTTCCAGAGATTCATTTTTTTTTTAATTTAAATACACATGTACTTATAACTAGATTACGTAATTATTAAACAATTATAAAAGGACAAATTAATACTGTCGAAAATTTGAAAACTGTTTTTTCCCTTTTTCTTTATCTGTTACCTGCGGATATTTCCTCGAAGTGATAGATCTTATTAATATTTTTTATTAACGGAGAACACCTTTGAAGGATGGACTGATGAATTTTATGATTGATATGTCAAGATCTCGCAAGTTTCAATACTTTGTTTATAGTCGTGACACGGAAAATTATTTCTTTGTATAATTAATACCATTTCATGACACCACACACTCATGAAATAATTTTACAAAAGTACACGCGACAAAAGTGACACGCGAAATGTTTCGGAGTCGCATCAATTTTACTTCTTCTTCTTCTTTCCGCCTTTCTTCCCCTTTTTGTCATCTGCTGCAGCCTCGGTCTGCATTTCCCTGGTCTCGTACCTAATCGGTGGTCTTCTTTCAGGACCTTTGGGCGTCTTCATCTCCAGCTGAATATCGGATTTCTCCCCAATACCAACCAACCCTTTCTTCCCGATCCTGAGAATAAACACATCGTGATCAGGATCGGGATCAGCATCAGGTGGAATAGCGTCACACTCAGGTGCAACTGTAACGGTAGGCTGTTTCAGATTCCCCTGAGTATCTTCTTCAGCATCTAGAAGACCAGACACCTTCAAGACCACAGCTCTGCCACACAGTTGAGCCGGTCCCCTGCTGGTTTGGATAGGTCCAGGCTGTTTCCCCTGCTGAGTCCCACACTCCGCAGGTTCGACCTGACCAACAGGTACCACAGAATATCCTGCAGGTGCAGCGGCAGGTGACGAAGGCCTAGCCATAGCTCCCTGAGCGACCCCACAGGGGGAACAGGGAAACTTCTTGGGAAGACAAACGGGGCACGCAGACTCCTGCACATCTTCCTGGGAATCCTTGCAGACATCCACGTCACTGGATTCGATCCTCCTACATTTGTACACCAGGCCCTTCTCCGAGGACTCTTCACCTTTGAAGACAAACGCTGATGTCTTCTCCTTCGTTTTAGGGGCATCAAACTCCGTGACGATGGTCTGTCCAAATGCGGACATCCTGGCGAAGAGGCAGACGTCACCGATGTGGTCTTGGTTGTACTTGAGGGGAACTTCACCTTCGAAGGTTTTTGGGGGAGGCACGTTTGTGTGCCAACATTGCTGGATCTCTTTCCTGAGAGCTGCGAAGTGCAAGCCCAGGTCGAAGCTGCCTTCTCCTATCAGGATGTCTGGCCTGATGTCGTCGGGCATTTTCTTTTGCACCTTGATGTCCACTTTGAACTCGTTTATACCGTTGAACAGGGTGGTCCTGTCCACGGCGAACATGACGGATCGACCTGAGTAGAAGTACTCGACCTCGTCGGCTATTCCGGCTTGTGGTTCGAACATCGGGTCCACCGGCGTCACTTCGATGTCCTCTTCGGTGAAGCTCAGGAACTTGAAGCACACGCTCGTCGGCACGAAGAACATCTGGTTCAGCTTTGCCAATCTTTCACCGGTTATCTGGTGCACGAAAAATTCCAGGAGGAAGAGGTATTGCTCCTTGATGTCCGGAGGACGCGGGGAGCGTCCTCCGAAGATGGAGTTCACCGATGTCATCGGGATTGGGGGTTAGTGACTTCTTTTGAGAGGACTCTTGAATTTGACATTTGGGGTAATGGGGGAGCGAAGGATAGGCCTGTTATTGGTTTTCGTTATTTCTTCATAATTTTATTATGGGCCATAACCAAAGTGTACACTGTCGCGGGACGTTAGGGATGATCACATGTCATTGTCAGCTGGTGACAGGTTCACTTCGTTCTGTCAAATGAACTCCTTTCGCAAACCAATCACGGCTTATCTTGGTCCACATCGATGAAAAAAGTTACTATCTATACAAAAAACTTGGTTTTGTGATAAAATGAGTTTCACTTGATGTTATCAAGAAAATCATGTGGAGGGTCGATCAAATGAAATTAAGACAAACTTGAAACGATATTTAATTCTATTGAGTTCCACACTTTCAATACTTGATAATCATCACCAAACTTTTACTATTCGTTATTGTCAAAGTAGTATGTAAACCGCTTGGAATGAAAAGTTGTTTCATTTCAACAGGGGGAAGATTTTGCAAGAATTAATAAATTTCTTGTGCCACAGTATTCAATATTTTTTTTACAATATATATTCATGATTTCAGAAGAAAGTAAGGGGATAACAAAAGGTTGAGATAGTTTTAGAAATTTGAGAAGATTATCTAAGAACTGATGGTACGGATTTTCGACGAGCATTTTTATTCAGAAAATATAAACGATTAAAGTGCAAACCGCATTGAAAAGGCGATTTCTATTGTCTTTTCTTTTACTAAAATCTAAGTCTGTCATTAAAAGAACCGTGTCATTACATCTTAAATCATTTTTTCTCGATTTTAAAACTGTCGTTACCTTTTCTTTCAGATTTGTCGTTCTCCTGAAATCATTTACATACACAGCGAAGAAAAATCAGAAATATCTAGTTTCCATAAGTCCGCCATTTTGAAACATTATTTATATCCGAGATTCTTCGTAAAATTAACCTTTTCATTTTCTGTTAAACTTACTTTAATTGAAATGCACTTCGCAACCTTTAAATCCCTTAAAGAAACATTTTAGTACATATAAGGATGAATTAATTAATTCTAATCCTTTTTAAATCATTTCATAATCGCCGTTCTTTTGAGTTTCCCTTTAGTGAAATTAACCTGAATTAACAGTCTGGATTATTTTCTAAGTTCATATCATGTCCGTGAGAAACTTGGCAACCAAACGTCAGATATAATGAGCCAGTTTTGATGATCAAAGGTTTACGACCCGACAAATTGCAGTGTCTTTAAGATGTTCCTCGTGAGTTCCCGTTTCCGCTCGAGTCTCAGGAAACGTTTATAGAATTTATTTGCCGTGAAATCGCCTGAATATGAGATAATTTCAACCGTCCAGTTTCCAGAATCTCCTCCTCTTCGATCTCTCCGATTTCATTTCTTTTATAATATGTTATAGTAGACTAAAAACTAAGCGACACGTATTTTTTTTATCTGCCATTAAACACTTTAAGGGGTGAAACCACCATCCAAAGTAAGGTCTGTGAGGGGTGCCTCACCCCTTAATTTTTTTTTTAATTGAGAAAATTATATTTTTCATTTCTTGTTATGAGAAAGCTTTTCCAGGTGGATTGGTTAAAAAATATTATGTTCTTGTGGGTGAAACTGCCAAATCGCCCCTTGACATGCCTTACTTTGGATGGTGGTTTCACCCCCTTAAAGTGTTTAATGGCAGATAAAAAAAAATACGTGTCGCTTAGTTTTTAGTCTACTATAACATATTATAAAAGAAATCCAATCCGAGAGATCGACCTGGGATACCTTCCTTGTCAGTTATTACATTGACGACACGTTGCCATTCTTCTTATCCGATGGAATTTTTCACAATTGGACTTAGTAACAAACTCGTGGCTAAACAATTCCGATCCATCCCTAGGGAAGCCTGGATTCGAAAAAAGATCTATAAGAAGACTAACTGGATTTATCTATGATAATTTCTATTATTCGCCACCAAGGAATACAATTTTTCTTTTGTCATTTAAACAAGGAAAAGATTGAAGATTTGGAGGATCAATAATTCCTCATTCATTCACATTTTTAACAGGATATTCGATTCCAGGAAACAACCACCTTCGTGACCAATTCACTATTTATAGCTATTTGTTTTAATAACCATTTTTGAAATCGCGTTCGCTTTTCAGTACCGACTCGCGGCTTTTTCTATGATTAAAAAAATGTTCTTCTCAAGGCGACTCAGTTGCACCAATTACGAAATTGAAATTTTTGAAATTAAAAATATCACTGTTACAAAACTATTTACTGTTTGATTTTCATAGATATCAATATTAATCGTATAACTTTATTCTGATATTTTAAATAACGTAAAATGTCATTGCCTAAGACGAATTATAAGGTTATGGTTGCGCACGCGCAGAAGGTCGATAGAACGTTTAAGGGGATAGCAATATTGGTGTCCATTAAATGGCCAACTAGTAATGTAGAAGTATTACGTATATTGCTCCGATTGGGCCTTAATTGGAGAACCAAAATTCAGGGCCAATCAAAGGGATTATCGCGAAGGAATTTTTTAAGGGACCTCTGACCTCTGACACCGTGTTAACGATCCAGAGCCTGTCCGAACTTAATCGATGTCTGGATCGTTAATTGCTCTCGATTCGTACCAATTATCATGGGATTTTTGCGAAAGGAATGTCGGTCACTCTTAGAAATGGTTCTAGGAATGCTAGATCTACGTTTAAAGACCCTATGGAGAAATTGAAAGATGAAAATTAGTGCCGAAGAAACGCTCGCTCGTGCTCTTGGCGCGAAACTCTGCCGCCTTTATAAAGAATTTCAGAGAGACATTGATTAACTATTTTGACATTGTTTAGGGTCACCAGCAGTTTTTCCTCGACCTAAACAATACGAATACTGGTATATACGGCAGAAAAAGGCGAAAAGTACTAAAAAAAGATGAAAATCCTTCAGCGGAAGGAAGACACCGAAAAGGTAAGAATTAAATAAAATATTGTTATAACCTCCCAGGTAACTCAGGGTAAATTCTGGTTGTAAATCGTGTTTCACTACTTTTGACTCTGCCAAACAAATATTCTTGATAATATACTATAGGGAAAGATCGGCAGATTGGAGGTGTCGTGTATCGTGATAATGATTGACAATCGTGTCAAGATCAATAGGCAAGTAAGGAATATTGAGTACGTGAGATCATGTCAGGTTCTGCGAAAATCAATATTTCAAATCATCGCCTTCATACTCCTAGCAAAGATTACGGAAGGCATTTATTGTCAAGGTCTAAAATCCAAGGTTACACGAAGAGAACTTGTAAATTGCTGTTTGCAACTTTATTGCCATTCTCAAACCAACATTAGAATCATTTAGTGCACCTACATGCTTTATTTGAAATCTCGATTTAATTCCTTCGATATTACTTGTTAATTATGTATAATAATGCCTCCATTTTCCATTGAACCACTTGATTTAATAACACCGTTTAATGTTGTTTCTGAAGCCTACAGTCCATATTCGAGTCATTTCAAATAGCTGCAAAATTGCCCGCAACCAAAAGTAATACACGTAATTTTGCAAGTGCTCCGTAGTATTATATCAATGCAATTTTTAATTTTCCTAATTATAAAGTCGATTATCTAGGAAAAGACTTCAATGCCTTAAAATCAGAAATATTCCGATTTTTAGTATATACAATTTCTTATCTACAATGATATCACGATATGAGCATGTCTTTAATCGGACCACTTGACTTAATTGCGATTCCTTTTGACATTGAAATCTGTTCAAATTAGGGCCATAATTAATGCCGGTGAATTTGCGTGCAATGAAAGTTACTTCTTCTTCTGCGAAAAGGAATGCAGGTAATTCCGCAAACAGATCATGCTTCGACAAACACATTGACGTCGATTCTATTGTAAACATGTACCGCATCCGAATGTAAAGTCTGTCGCAATCGGACAAAGACTGATTACAACGTCAGATAATTATAGTAACCTGATGTTACTGTATGCACAGCATCTTGAGTACTCGATTCAGAACATCAATCGGGAAAAAAAATTGCCCCGAGGTGTCCATCAATGATAACCGCCTTATGAAAATTGTTCCGGACGTCTGCAATTGTCCTCGTTGCTCTGCAAGTAATTGTACACGCATAATTACTCGACGGCTCTAATTATTTCATTGAACAATGCAACTCTTAAATAGCTCATGGTGAAGCACACTAATCCATCAATTGACAGGACACCTGTAAAAAAAAGAAGAATAGTCGTAAAGTAAAATGTCAATATTTTAAAAACGATCGAAAGTATATTTAATTCTATAAAATATTCATCTTAAATACATATTCCTTTAATTTAGACAGCGAGGTGTTTTAGCGTTATATAAGGTAGTACTGTTTCTTGAATGTAAATGTAAAGCTGTCGGGATTTTATTCAATTGTCCATTAACTAAAGGAATAAAGATAAAATATAGTGGACTGCAATTTGCAGGAACGTCGTTCGAAGTTAACTTTAGTAGCATCGAATAATTTCTAAATAATTGTTTGTAATCTTTGCTAAATATCTCAAGCGATAGATTCTTTTAAGATTTCTTGTAGTTTTCATTCGAAGATATCTGAAATATTTGTTGAAAATCTCAATGGCATATTTAGTTTCAATAATTTATAAACATACATAGAAATTATAGTTTTTAATTTAGGGACATNATAAATATTATAGGGATAATATTCTAAAGTAAACGTTTTGCAAATATTTCAAATGTCTGGTAAATATTTACAAAATGTACGATGTTCGTTAAATATATAGAAAATATAGGACAAATATTTTGTGCCACTAGGGAAGCTACACATAACATTTATGATTTCAGAGATTGAGTACTGGGTAAAAATAGCTCTTTCTGCAGTTTTAATTACCTACATTAGGCATGGACGTATGTATATGTACTTTGTCTTTTTTATTTTAGTAAAAAACTGTGACGTGCTTGACGAAGAGGAGGACTTGAGATGGCACGACATTTACGAAGTGGTGAATATGACCAAAAACGAGGAGGAACGAAGACGCGAAATGTCAAATTTACTTAAGCCTTATTTACACGAGCTCAATACCTGGTACGCCAAAAATAAGCCAACGATTTCCTAGGGGATACTCAAACTTATTTTT